AAGATGTGATTTGTATGGACAGGTGGCGTGTGCCCTGTGCTGTGAATTTATCTGTTTTTTGAAGTGACATGACTCAATTTTTCACTGAAGTTTTCTATCTTCTTTCTTTGGGATACTGTTGAACAGGGGAAGAACTATCAGGAAAGAGTTATGCTGATTTATGATGGGCTCCACTATGATGCTTTGGCTGTATGTTGTTCTCTCTCTTCCTTCACACACACACACACACATAAACTACCATTTTTTGGTCTGTCTTGCAAAAATCATCGTCAATGAGGATTTTTGCATGGATGTGCCCCCCAATCAATGGGCTCGGTGATGATGTTGTCATCGCTAATCCGCAAGTTTATTTCCAGTGTCTTCAGAAATTATTGCCTTTTTTCAGACTTCATTTCATGTCTTGCATCTGTAGATATCTCCCTCGGAAGGAGCTCCAGAAGAATTTGATCAGACAATATTTGCTGCAAAGGACAGGACCGTTGGGCCTGTTGAGAGGCTTGCTCTCAACCTTGTCAAGGAACAACAAAGGTACCATGTCAGATTCGGTAACCCACTACTCTTTCAGATACCTCCGTAGAGTATTGATCCAGTTTGTTGCAGTTCTTGGCTGGAAAGAGAGTATAATTAACTAATAAAAATACTAGTGAAGGCTATCACTCATTATCATATGGTTCAAGGTTGCATTATTGATCATCAATTTAAAGAATTCTGAGACACATTGGTCGCAGCGACATATCGTGGTATTAGGCGATATGAGAAAAATGTTGAATTTGATGAGAAATTCAAGTCATATCACGGTGTCACAAAACTATATTGACTGATTCAATGACAATAACTTGACAACTCGGAATTAATTTAAATACAACTCGACTGAGCCATGTGAAACTCGAGATTTATACGAATCTATAACGGTATCGTCTCGGAAAATGCTAGGTTGTATCCGACTTGGCCAACTCGTATCCATATCATCTGATACTTTGAACTATGCACATTATGGAATGAACTAACTAGGCAATGTTTGTGGGCAACCTAACTCTTTTCTTCTTCTTCGACCCTGCTTTGCTTTGCTGGTTTCCTCTTTGCTTTTCATCATTTTTCTCCGCATCTAATAATAATCAGCCTGATGTTCTTCAAAGAAAGGAAAATGCTAAACAATCCAAATGAAACCCAAAAAGGACAACTCAAATGCATATCATTCCTTAGATGATGAGTAGATTTCATCAACTCATCCAATGGATGATATGCATTTAGGTAACAATTTTCTGGGTTTTGTAGTATTACTCTAAAAGAAAAGCATCTACAAAATGACGAGTAATGGTTGGTTTGTGACTAATGCATGATCATTTTACTCCTCATTCTGGTGCATGTAGGAAAAGGAGTTACACAGACACTGCCAACTTCAGTTTGCGATGTGGGGTTTGCTACATTGGAGTCATTGGCCAGAAGGTTATCCTCACCGATAAATTAATATGCTCCCTTCATCTTTCCACATCTTTTCCAACTTTGCTTGAATTCTGTACTCTTTACTTTTCCTCGTTGACAATATTTGGTGTATGAACTTGCAGGAGGCAATGAAGCATGCACAAGCGACAGGCCATGTCAACTTTCAAGAATATAGATAAGAGAAACCAAGAGAGAGGAGACAGAAATCAAACCTATTGGCTTTTGATGTGCTACGTACCTAGATTGTATGGTTTAGGAAATAAGTTTTTATTAATTTGTTGAAGTTCGACCAATAAACTTATCTATTTTTTTTGGGTTAACTGTTGTGTAATGTTGTATTGTGTTGTACCAAATGACCAGTTTACACCTGCCATAAATGAGAAACCATGGTTCCTCTCTACATCCTTATCTCAACATTACAGCCCAATTAGAACTGAAGATATTGTGTTGTAAAGACATGTCATACACAGGGCTGTCTATATCCCTTGTAAACAGGGTGCTACATACTCTGAACAACCAAAACCATGGTCGATGGTGACAGAGAATAACCCAGCTGATTGTTTGAAGGCATTATTTCTACGAGGTGGACAAAAGTTATGATACAAATACGATGCTCTTGTTAGAGCATATGATTAGTGGAAATAAAATGGAGAACCGGCTACCATTAATTCCAAGAAACTAATCATACAATAGACCGGATATGAATACCTTAGAAGGTTGGGAAAGAACCTGCTCATTTCTGTCTGGGTTTATTAGAACCATTGCAGAGCAAGCCTGGCCATGGATATCTTACTGAATCTAAATCTTCTGCTTTAAAACTTGGCGTAACTGTACCTTTTGACTTTCCACCCTTGCCTCCAAAAGCTTGGCTTTCAGACTATTCCTCTGCATGCCACGCGGCCATTCAATGCACCCTTTCATCCCTCGCGTTATGTGTGGATTCCCCAAGTCAGGTGAGCTCCATTCTCCTACTAAATCTTGGTGACTAAGTTCACCATTAAATGAACCCCTATCTGGAGAAATGATGGCCCCATTAGAAAGTCTTTCATGTGAGAGCCTTCCATTCTTTCCCTCTGACGAGATGATCTTGTAGTTTTCACCGTTGCTTGGGCATGATCTCCAAAGCCGAGATATGGATGACACCTTCTTCAATTGCCTAGTTGGTACTGAGCATACTTCACTGATTTCGGTAATTGGTGTTTCCTCACCTGCATGTTCTTCCCATTCTGTTCCAGTCCCTGACACATTACTGTCCTGGTGAATATTGTTGACAGATGAGTCACTCCCATCGGGTGAATAACTTGAGCCCTGATCCTCACCATGGCTCACTGTTTCCCAGCCACTCTCATCTTCTTCTATATCCCCATTCTGATCAACATATGCATTAGAATGCCTCTGAATGCTTCCTTCAGTAAGAGTTTTGGAGGCATGGCTGGCAGGACAGAATGCCACGTATGGCTCAATCTCCCTATTATTGGGTTCACCAAAATTAACATCTTCAAAAACAGCGAAAATATCATCTGGATTAGGGGGATCATAAGTAAATTCCTTGATATCTTGAATATTCAATGAAGTGACAGCCTCTCGAAGGAGCTCCGCTTTCTTCATCTCCTCTACATCGGGAGTTGCTCTTCTTGAACTTAGAAAAGTCTCAAGCTCTGCTACTAGCCTGTTCATCTGAGAATACGTTTCCTCAAGTGTCACCTTTGCATCAACTAGTTTCATCTGAACCCGTTCTTCTCGCCAAACCTCAGCCATTTGCAACATCTTCCTCTCATCTTCCACTTCCTCCAGGAGTTTCCTAGATTCCCTATTCAGTGCTTCAACTTCAGCCTTGCCCTCCCCAATTTCCTTAGCAAGCTCATGGCACACTTCCTCTATCACCTCTCTGGCTTTCCTCTCATTTTCATAATCCTGCAGATATCGCTTTGCAGATAACTTGGCATCTGCCAACTCATTGACCAACTTGGAATTAACTATTTCCATCCTTTGCCGATTCTTCCTCTCTCTGCTCAAGTCAGCTTTGATGTCATCAATAATTGCACGGATTTTCTCGTGTTCTTTGCTCCGCCATGCAGTCCTTTCCTCACTGAGTTTTTTCAAGAAATGCTCAATCTTCTTCTTTGATGTCCGTCGTTCAGTTTCAAGATCATGAATACAGGCTCGAGCCTGCTGCAGTTCTGCCTGAAGTGCAGATATCGCCGAGACAGAAGTCACCTGTTGGTCAAGAAGCCTTGGGTGACCATGATTCAGTTCTGCTTGCTCTGCTATTTTCCAGCCCATAGGGTCCCACTTTGTTGCACCCTCCATTATGGGGTTAGAAAACTGATTTGAAGGTTCAACCTACAAATTAACTCCCAAGTTTAGAGGATCAAAAACTGAAACACAAATGAAAAGATAACAGGAAGCCAGAAATTATCATAAAGTCCTAAATGAGGAGGAAGCTGTGCCACTCTAAATGCTTATAAGTTATAACTAACAATTCAAAATACACCAGCCAATTTGAATCAGTATCCAAATGCTTGTAATAATTTGATAGATCACAAAATGAATATGACCTCATAAGATCACTCTAGTAAAGAAGGATATGCAAGCACCCAAATGAAGCATAGGAAAAGTGGTACCCAATGGCCCCATTTGTGTCCCATGTTCAAGAATTAATAGGTGTAAGTTTCCTAAAGTTCCAATAAGGTCCTAACTACAGAATTCTATCAATTCAACCGGTATTGAACAGCTACATCAATTGAGAACCTTGAGAAAGATTTGTACCTTGCACAAAAAACCATTTCTGGGACAAGAGATTGAATGAGGACTCTGTATTGGAACATTCGCCTGAGAATCAAGCGCTTTACCTTTTCGATGACCATGAATGGGGACAGCAGCATGACCAACTCCAGTCTGTAAGAGAAGTAAAACAATGAGTTAAAATCCTAACTGTCCAGTATTGTCTACGTAATACATTAAAGGCCTCAGAATCAATATCTGCTACTTACACAACCTCTACGTTCGCAAGAAGTTCATGACAAATAGAACATAGCATATCGTTGATGCAGAACTTTTGAAAGTAAAATTGATCAAGGTTTCATACTACCCGGTCGAAAAGTGAATGAGAAAGAGGAATATGTATTGATGAACTGTGACCAGTTTGGAATATAGATACTGTTACATAAAAATACTGAAAGATCAATGATCCATGAGAGCCTTCTCACACTTTACTCCAATTCGGACAGGACCAACAGAGTTTGACTTAGTTGTGGTTTAAAGAGTTACTGTTCTTACTAATCTTAACATGCAATGCCAATAGATCATCAGCCCAAATCAAAATAATTGCAATCAGATTAGATGCATAATGAGGACTATCAACCACATTACTTCAAAAGATCACACATTTAATCACACTCCCCAGTTTTAATTTGAAGAAAAACCCGGAAAATGAAAATCTTCAATGATACACTTTTACCTGAGAAAACCCTAATCGTTGACCACCACCATTGTTCGGCTCCTCCGGCAACTGCAATCGCCAAAGTCCGGCGGCGAGCTTCCTCGAAGAGACCACAGCACTCGCTTTCCGCCCATTTTTTCGACCACTCTCAGGGGACAACTTTTCCTCCCTAGCACTCTTATCTGTCTCTCTCTCATCATCAAGCTTCCAACGAAGCAAAGGAGTTTCGGGTCTGCTCCGTCTACCTGTTGGAGCTCCGACGTCTCTCTTCAACCGGACTCCGGCGCCCGAAACCCTGGGGCTCTTAGTCTTCCGGCGAGGTGGTTTACGAGAGAGGGGTTTTTGTACAAGATCTGAATCTGGTGAAGGGTTTAGGGTTTTGGAAGAGAGAATTGCATGAAGGTCCACTTTGCCACCGGTGATTTTCATCGTTGCCTGGTAGATTCAGCCATTACCCAGCTCCTTCGTGTGTGTTGTGCTTGGCGTGTGCGAGAGAGAGAAAGGGAGCTCCGTGCGATCTCCTTTGCGGCGAAATCTGTAAGTACGTGTGCGCGTGTGTGTGAGTGAGAGAGAGAGAGAGAGAGAGAGATGGGGGAGGGTAAAGAGCTCACAGGGATTTCCTCGAGAAAACGACGTATAGAGACCATGTATCCTGTAGATTTGTACGGTCAACGTCTCTTTTCTTCAGTTCTTTTCATTACGTGAACAGTGGTCCATAGTTTATCGTGGATTAATGCACTGAAAACGGCGTCGGATTAATTAGGAGTAGGCTAAGACGATGTCGCACCTAATGTAGAATGGCAAATGTGAGGACAGTCCCCTTGGGAAAACTCTACCGTATCGAAAAAAAAGAATTTCAGAATTGGTTTTATCGGTTACAATTCTAAACGGTAATTATAACTTTAAAAGAATAAATTACAATTGTTCGAAAGATATCATGATCAATTACAGACATCCATAATTAATCACAAAAAATTCTTGAAATCGTTTAAATTATTTCTAAAAAAATTAATTTTTCCTTAAAAGTCATTGGTTAAGTCTCATTTTTCAATATTTTTCTTAATGTTAATAAAAGTTATTTTTGTCTAAAAAATTATTAAAAAATCCGTTTAATAAACCCGGATTCAAACGAAAGATACCTTTTTTCTCTTAAATTAAAATTTTCAGCCAATGTGTTTTTTAAGTCCTAAAGCCTTTTCTTACACTCTATTTAGTCAACCTGTGGTTCTATTTTCCTAGTTTGTTTGGTAAGTACACCTATTCCCTTTTAAGGAGCCTAGCCCATATCTTTATAGGTGATCACCATACCTTAACCTCTTGTCCCCATAGTACTGGACTAGTGGTCCTAGTTTGTAGAGAACAATAATTATTATTTTTTGAAAACATTTCAGTCACATATCTTTCAATTTACTATATTTTTAAAAATAAATTCTTTAAATCTACACTAACGCTCCTTGATAGATTAAATATCTTAATTAAAATATAATTTTATTAAATTACCCTTAATATATTTTAAGAAAAACTTTATCTACACCCACTATAGATGAGTTTCCTTGTGGTTTATAATTTTTTTTACGTATTAAAATTCGATTCAAGTCAATTAAAATTCATTTTTAAATTATTCGAATCAAATTTTAATTAACTCGCATTGAATTTTAATCGGAACAAATTTTGATATATAAATAATATAAATTTTAATAAGTAAAAAATAAATTGTAATGAACTTCAATCAAAGTTTAATTGGTGCTAACACATCATGTTGAACTCAAACCGACTTAAATTCTAATATGTAAAAAAAAAAAATTAACAAGTTCGAATTTTAATACATAAAAAATAAAATTTAATTGACTTATATTTTAATATGTAAAAAATGAATTGTAATCGATTTAAATTTTAATTGAATTTTATGTAGAAAAATTGTGTAGGGTTTATATGTAGGGGTAATTTTAAATAAATTTTTTTTTTAGAAATGGTGCTTTAATGGCAGAGACTGAGAGTGTCAGTGATGCTTAAATATAAACTACAAGAGGTGTCAGTGATATTTTAAATAATAAAGATATAATAAATTAGAAGGGATGCGATTGAAATTTTTCTTTATTTTTATTATATCAAAAATTATTATTCAATCAAATCAAATTATAATTCAATGGAATCAATCAATCCTAGTTTTATTTTTTATAATCCCATAGACAATAGTTTGGGGGATCTTGTGTTTGAGTTCCGAAATCAATTTTTTTTAAATAGAAAAAAATTGTGTAATTTCTTGCAGTGACCACACGTGTAAGTAAAAACGAAACTAATTAACATTAGGTTCCAAAATTTGAGAGAAAACTCGTTCGTGGTTGTAAAATAATTTTATTAAACGTAGAAGATCATCGACCGAAAAATATCTGATGGCAAATCGGTGCTCGTTGATGGTATTGTTAGTAAAAAGGGGTGAAAATAATGTCTTCCGGTAAATCGGTGTTCATTGATAGTATATTTATTGAATAGTGAAATCACACAGTAATAATAATGTGATATTGAATTCTCGATAGAATGAACTTATCCTTCATAGGATGCCAAAAATTATCTGGAAAAATCATGTGAAAAGGCCAAACAAAATCTACATGGCATTTCCATCAACCACATGCTATTGCCTAGCTTGAAACAGAGAGCACTAAATTTCGAATAGCTGGAACCCCCACAGCACTAATTGCAGGGTTCTTGCTAGATTCTTTTGTCTTCCTCCTTGTGGACAAGGGGTTTATCAGAGATGCTGATCACCCCCGATTTGATGGTCCCGGATAGGTGAAGCAACGTCGGCAATGTTTTATCACTCGAGAAAACATGAAATTTCGAAATAGAATGTATTAAATTGACGTCCAAGATAGCATACAAAGTCACCGAACCGACCCAACCAACAACAAAAGTTGTATACATCATATGAATGGATAGTAATCGATTGGAATAATTCAATTCAACAAAATGAACACGATAACAAGTCAAATTGATGAAAATAAAAACGGATCAAATATGGGTATACGAGTTCTAAATTGGTATGTTTTTATAAAGGTGTTTATAGACTTTTTAGGCACCCATTTCTAATAAATGAAGGCAAACCATTCGCAAAATTGAATTTGTCGATTCCGTCCCAATCATTAGAAAAGTAGTCGTCGTGACCATGTCTAGGTGTATTCACATTTACATGATCTGCAGTCTTATCTTATGGCTCGTCAGATATTATAGGATAAAGCATAAGCTTATAGAGAGGAAAAACCAAAAATCAAACTTCCAAAATCAAGTCAGCATCAAACTTAAAAACATCAACTAAGTAAGTAGCAAAAATAGATTCATTGACATTATCCGTGAAGGCTGAAGCTAAGAGAGCTTAAACCGTCAAGATATTTTAGATGAAATGATCTCGCGAATTTTAATATGTTTTGCGTCCTAATAAATCTCGCTACAAATACTAACTTATTTGATGTGCGTGATCTATAAGTGAGTTGCATATGTCCGGTATTTATGTTGTAACCATGAATTTACAAGTTATTGGATTAATTAGATGACTCTTCTTTTTCATGAAAGAAAATGAAAAAAAAAAAAGGAAAAAGAAAAATAAGAGAGTTTCTAACGTGGCAAGCAAATCCATGCTGCCATGGATAAAGATTAAAGTGCTCTAAGATTAGTTAATCCATACTTTGTAGAATATCTCTTGGGTAATTTGCTAATTATCATAACAATCATTGATGAGGTAGATTTCTACTTTCTAGTGGTTCCATCCACGGTGGCTCCTGGAAATTGAAAATAACCAGAAACAACTAAGAAATAAGATATACAAATTTCACAACATAACCATTTTAATTCATGATCATTTTCAAGGCCTGCTTTGGAGATGATCCCTAACTCAATTTCGTTTTTTTTTCGGTTCAACGATCAGGGATATATGGATTAATTTACGCGAACTTCAATTAATCTTATTTTTGGTTAGGTCAAAATAGGCTATCCAGGACTAGGGTATTTGTAAGGGATAAATTTTTCAAGATCTAACTTTAAAGAATTGTCAAAATTCAAATTCAAAACATCTAATTTTATAATTTGTTACTATTATTACTCGAAGCTAACTCATATTATTGTATGTTCAACATTGATCATCTTGTCGCTGTCTAGCATTGGAACAAATCAGTATGGACTCGGTCTATGACATAATTTAAGGTATTTTTTCATTGATACACAATGAGTGACATAAAAACAAAAGATTAAGAATAAAACCCCAAATGTTTTTTTAGGAGCAGTGATTTCTCTGTGTCTCATTGTTATCCGATGCGTCACTTTTACTTTACTTCTATGACTCGTTTGTAAGAGAGGGGGGGTGTGGATGTAATATTTTAAGTGTGATAGAATTTAAATGATTAATATTTCGTTCGGTAAGAAAGATGAAAAATATGAATGATGAAAAGTAGGAGAGATACACTTTTTATTCTTTAAAGATAAAAAATAGAAATCATACATTTTTTTTCTTTTGTGTTTAGTTGAATGGATGAAAAATAAAAATAATTAATTTTTTTTTTTGTGCTGGCTAAGATTACGGATGACAATCGAGTCATGTTGAGTCATAAAATTATAAGTATTTTATATTTCTTATTCGCGTGTCAGATCATTTTCAAGTTTGTGTCATAAAATTCGAGTCATGTCATCGTGTTAAATCAAAAATTTGTATCCCTAATTAAGATGAAAAAAATATTTTTTTTAATTTAAAATTTTTATTTTTATTTTTAAAATTTTTTAATATATATATACATATTTTATTATTATATTTTTATATGAAGTTAATGTATACATAATATATAGACAAATAAGATACATCTGAACACAAATAATTAATTTTTCATCCACTTTTCTTCTGATTTTAGAGGATTGATTTTGGTGAGTTGGAAAAGAAAGTTAATTTATCCACTTTTTTATCTTTTTTATTTTTATCTTTATCAAATATAATATTTTATTTATCCCTTTAATTTTTTATCCTTAAAATTTTTTATCTTTTCATCTTTCTATCACCGAAGGAAGCAAAAGTGACAAATTTCAGAGAATTTGGATATAATTTACACTAAGATTAACGGGAGGATGATTGCACTAGGATTGCCACGTGTAAAATTGATAGCCACGTGTAAAAACACCCCGTTGGGTTGGCGCCAGTCGATTACGTCAGCTCCGATGTCGGAGTAGCTAATGGAGGGGTCCACACAACGGACAAATGGCATTAGTTTGGTGGACATGGATCGCCTCGTAAAAAGGCCAACCGCTCATGTCATGGGAAACGTGGGGTTGGTTGTTGATTGATTTTTGAGCAACCTTAAATAGATTTAAAAATTAAATTTGATAATCTCAACTATGAATAGGTAGTGGATTTTAATAAATACTGAAACTCACAGTAAAATTAATGATTAAAATTATTAAATTTAATTTTTAAATTCATGTAACATTGTTCTTGATTTTTTAGTAGTAGAAGCCAACTAAGACTAGCCAACCACCCCCCTAAAGCTTACCCTTTTTTTTTTTATTTCCTAATTTAATGCTAAAACGTAAAGATCATCATTTATTAAGTTTGGTTGGTCAGCGTGTTTTACCTCCACCTCCAAGATTTCATCATCGGAGAATCACCAACAATATTATACTTTTTTAAATGCAAAGCATATTTTTAAAAAAAAATAAAATAAGTAATAAAATTTTATAACTAGCTTCAATAAGCTCTCTATTTAATTGAGAAATAGACTTTATAATAAATAATATTTAACGAAGAACATATACATGACATTCTTTCATTTAGTAGTATCACTCACCTTCTCGTCAAACACACCTTCCACAAACATCATAATGTGTAGGGATAGCAACTTCACGTTAAACGTGAGTGTTGGAGGTGTGCGTGAGTGAGTGTTTATTTTATGAGTAATGTTATACACCCTAAATTTGTAATTTAAATTTGTATCCCAAATTAAGGAGATCTATTGAATCAGTGGGTCCCATTAATTTTTTTAATTGGGACCACAGACCCAATAGTCCTCTTTAATTTTAGTTATAAATTTGAGATACATATCATTATTCTTATTTCATTATCGAAGTGGTCATGTGCATCTGAATGAATGTATGTGGTAAGAGCAAAAGCGAAGAGATAGAGGGAAAGAAGACATCAAGAGACAGCAACGACTGAAAGGAGAGAAAGTCAATTTTACCAATTAGAATAGGGAGAGAAATAGATAGCAACGGTTGAAGGGAGAAAGATAATTTGATTTTGGAAAGCTATATAAATTGAGTGAAAATTTTCGAAGCTTTGCATTAAGGATGAAAAATTCGAAGAGAGAAAAAAAAAAGATATGAATAGACCATTCTTTGGGGAGATTTAAGAAGAGTTAAACATGGAACAAATTTTGATATTTATATTTTGGACAAAAAATAGAATTCTCAATTTAATTTGATACATCGGAACAAAAATATTAGAATAATTTAAGACGTCAATAACTTGAGATAAATTAAGATAATTTAGTTTGTCAGATGAAGTTATTTTATAATTCAAATTAACCTGATCTATTTTTTGTCTTTGATTCAAAAACAACTCTACTTATAATATTATTGAATGAAAAAGAATTAATTATATATAAATAAATCCCTTATTAATACATAATACGAACAAATATGAAGAAAAAAATGAAATGAAAAAATCCTCATAACTCCTTGGGTGTAGGATATTGTAAATTATGAATAGCCATGTAATTACAGCGACAGCGGTGAGATCAAAGATCAAGTACATGTGAATGGCATTGAAAGCGAAAGGTGGAAGATACCCTTTGCTAAACCGTGTTCACACCTATTTTATTGTGCAAGATTCGAAGCAAACCCCTTTTCACACCTAGAGAGAGGACCTTTTCAGGGTTTTGGCTCCTAGCCGGCTCTGCTGAAATTCCGGCTTCGCTTGTTTCTATTGGCTTGAATGGTCATGTATTACTTTTCAAAATTCAATGGAATTGTTTGTTTTTACTTAATTCAGTGATTTTATTTGGTGGTACGATGGATCATAATTATTGGATTGATAGTAAACTTTAACTAATAGTAGGGTTCACTGTCAATTTAATGACAAAAAATAATAAAATCACCCCATAAGATCAACTCATGTAACATTGTCCTCTCCAACAATATATGATAATAAGGATGACAATAAGTAGCGTTCATCGAATGAGGTCTATATTGCGTTTTGTAAAATTCGATTTAGATTAATAGAATAATGATACACATTTTAAATAAAATTCAAAAAATTACAACTTAAATGTATATCATCTCTTGAATAAGTAAGTCCCATCAATTTTTTAGTGGGACTCATTCATTCAACATTCATGCATTTAAGTTATAATTTTTTGATTTTATTTATGTTGTATACTTGTATGGCATTTTCCTTCTTTTTATTATACTTTCTCATAATGGTAAATTATTTATCAATAATATATATGAATTCCACTTCTACGATTTGTTTTTGGTCCCCTCGCCTAAATAAGATGAATGATCTATTATTAAATAAAATTTAAAGAAACATGTATTGGAGAATATTTCGATCCATATAAAATTGAGTTTAATTTGTCGTATTTGAATTTATCAAATGTGAGATTACGAGATCAATTACGACTAAACCCGAGAATTGATATTTTATAGTCATCATCATTACATTTTTTGTTCTACCGTTTATTTTGGACCTATTTCAAGCATGATTTGAAATATTTCCTCTTTTATTTGAATTTTAAACATTAATATTATTAGGACATAATTTTGAGTAATAATGCATTATGCCTATTACATTAATAGTGTAGTGTATTTAATACTAAAACCTACTAATAATTTAATGGCAACAATCATTATATTCTAATAATATTGTTCTAATTTTAATTTTGTTGCAATAATATTATTTTAAAATGATATTCAATTTGTATTATGGATTTAGAGAATTGTAATATTCTTTGATAGATTATAAAATTACTAACACTTTCTATATAATAAGTAGATTCAATCGGATTACAATACGATTAATTAATCATAATTAAAATTGATAATACCAAAATATCAAGTGAGATGACTTAGAAATTAAAGCATAACACATTTAATTAACTCGTGAATCCAAATCAAAATAAAATTCACAATTGATCATATGTAAGGTTGTCGCCACAATAGTCCCATCCCATTCCAATGGACAATTCAAAGCGGAAGAGAGAGTAGACGAGCCGAGCCGAGCCGAGAGTTCCTTCAAGCAACAAATAAAGTGTCGGCGGCGTCAAAGTATGCCTTTGGCCGGGACCAACCCGAAACCGGTGGGACTTTGGTAGATAAGGTCAAACCAGCTACAACCTGCCAGCTAGGACACCCATCTCTTTCCAGATCTCCCTCATTCGTTTGTCTACTCTCTCTCTCTCTCCTCACCACCTTCCCCCCCCCCCCCCCCCCCTCCATATATATATATATATATATACCACCAACCTCTCCATTTCCAAAACCTTGATCACCATTATCAAACACAATTGTTTTCAGAATTAAAAAAAAAATGGGAAATTGCATCAGAAAAGAGTCCTCCATGCAATGGGGCGGCGAAGATTGGGGATCTCCGGCTTCAGAACATCTCTTTTCCGGCGATACTTCAAAGCTAACGAAGAAGTTAGAAGAAGATCAAAGACTTCTAGAAAAAAGCTCGGAAGATTTTCCATTTCATGAGTCATCGTCTAAGACGCCAGTGACGGAAGTGAAGATCAAGATCACGAAGAAGCAGTTGGAGACACTGTTGGGCAGCACCGACGTACAGGGGTTGTCGGTTGGGCAGGTACTTGCTCAGTTGATGGACGTCAGTGATGGATATGAGACGCATCAACGGCCATGGAGGCCTGTCTTACAGAGCATACCGGAGGTGGAATGAGTTGATCGGCGCGTAGGTATTTTAGTGAAGGTGTGAATACGAGGTCTTTTGTAAGGAACCTCTCTGCCTCCATTGGAAGTGGTAAATAGACGAATGGGGTTAGAGGGTTTTTGTTGAGGCCATGTACATTAGTGTATATGTTTTTCGAGAATTATTGAAAAGTTATTTTATGTTTGTGTGTGTGTTTAAATTGTTCAATAGTTATTGACAAGTTCTCTCTCTCACAATGGTTAGATTTTGTATTCTTTTTTTTTTTGTTTTTATTTAATAAACAAAATGTTCAAACCAATTTACATGTATTTCGATTAATTTCTTCTTCAATCTAATCGAAATTAGATCATTTAAGCTGAGATTAACTTATTTATAACCTGATTTTAAAAGATTGTCAAAATTTAAACTCAACTAAGTTTTAAACTAAACGTGTATTCAATCATAAAGTTCTATCTTAGGATGTCCGATAGTAAAATATACAACCTTATATGTAATGAGAATAGCACTATCATACCCAAATAGGATCCTATAAAAAAATTATCCATTATAATTTTATTTTAATTTTTTTGTACAAATAATAAAATATAAAAGAAATTTACACGTCTTCTTTGTTTTAATTAATTAATAGAAAATATAAAAGTGCGGTAGTTGAACCCGTTTGGTAGAAAGCCCACAAACTAGTTGACTGGTTTGAACCCGGTGACCCAAGGCCATGGGTCCTTATGCTGGCTAACTTTGTATCAAGATTTGTGAGCGGCCAATACTGATTGGCCTGCTTTCCCGGCCCACCTCAGGAACAGGCCGTCGATTGACTTGGCCTGGTATATCGTGGGTTCTTTCGAGGAGACTATTTTAGTAATCTCATCATTTATTTATCAAGATTATCACACCTCTCAACTCAACTCGATCATGAGATGCGTTCTAGGAAGTCAATTGGAAACAGGTTGTAAACCCACCTGGCTTAGATATCTTTGACCCACGATCTTCAACGAAACATATCGATCGCGTGGATTGAGCAGCTTGTGTCAAAATTTCACGGGATAGTATTAAAAAATATTTAATTTGTTAATTAATTATATTGTATTGAATTTATTCACTCAAATTTAAAATATATATATATATAATTTTTTTAATTTTCTATCATATGCGTGCCATTTTAATGCACCCTGTACCTGTCATGTTTGTTGACACCCTTATCTTCAACCCCATTCCATGTGACAGGCCGTTACCTGATCATCGATGTCGTCGCTCCTGATTTATATAAAAAATTAAGAAAAGAAAAGAAAAGAAAACAGGGTATTAAAGTCAAAAAAACCCCAACTATCCTCATTAAACTCCGTAATCCTCTCTCTCTCTGGTGAGGTTTCAAATTGCTATCTCGGCTCAATCTTCACTTTATCTTTAATGCTCCAAATCCACCTCAACACACTTGTTAAAGGTACGATGTTTCTCAACCCTACCTTCAAATATCTATGTAGTTATTGTGGTTATGATTTTATGCTTTACGCTACGCGGAGGAAGAGGAAAAATAATTATTGAATATGTTCGACGGTAGTTACTGAAAAGTTTGTTGAATGCTTCAAAGTAGGGTTTTGATGAGGTAAAATACTGAGTTTTTGGATTTAATGTCTTTTTTTGTTATGAAAAGTTCTGGTGTTTTACTCTTGTTTTTGCTTGCGTGAGTTTGTTTGTTTGTTTGTTTCGTGACCTTTGTTAATTCATTGTATTATGTACAAAATAGAGTGCAATTCTTATTTTAATTGTGGAAATTATTATGTTTTAGCTGAGAAAATTATAATCACCCACATAATATAATGTCGACGGAATGCAATTACGTCCTGTTTTGTGCGTGTATGCATATACTAGCAATAACCTGCGTCCCAAGACACTATACAATACTAAGAATTTGAGTATTGATCTTACAATATTTATATTTTATATAGTAATTTATTTATTTTTAAAATGAATAGAGAGAAAATAACGAAGAGGTAGGGAATGAAGAGAGGGGTAGATGTGGATTAGTGGAGTTGCGTGGCATTGTAGAGTGTATAGCTTGAGTTGATTTTTTGAGCACAAAAGCGAATGGGAATGAATTTTGTACAATTGGATCAAAGTAAATAAAAACTAGAACAATCTTGACTATTGTTGTGCTTTTATAAGTTGAGAATTCAACTTTATAGCTGTAATATTATATAGATATGTGCCCAAGTTGGAAAACCATAAGGAAGAAGATGCATCTGTGCTTACTTGGGTGAATGTTTCTGTCTATACCAGTAGAGCAGAGTAAGATAAGGGAGTAGTTTCTGTAACAAGCATCTATATGGTATTCGTGGTCTCTTTTTGATGCTTGGCTGTTCACTCAGGACTTTTCATGAAGGAAAACTTTTGTTTAACATTTTGGGAAAGACCACCTATTTGTTCTCTTTACCAGGTTCGGCATGGAATCATAAATCGGTCCTGTTTTTCATGATATTTGATTCTCTGGGGAACATTAATCATTTAGAGTGAAAAGGCACCTTTTAGTCTGTATTGCCAGCAAATTCAAAGGTGAAGTTGATGCATGAATGAGAAGGGAAAAATAAGGGTAAAAATGATTTTTTTTGGAGGCAAACTAAATTTTGGCATGTGCAACAAGGATTCTATTGCTAACATATCATTTTTTCTAGTCCAGGAAAATAATGCTATTTTGTCGCCAATTCCTACATGGATTTCTGCATTGAATTGTTGTCATGGAATAAGAAGTTTTCCTTGTCTGATATCAAGCTGTGAACTCAACTCATGTGTCAGAAACTCTATTCCCTCAAGGATGTCTTAAATATGTCCTCCTCTATTATGTTTGTTGTTTTGTTTTGCATGCTTGTTTGTTGTCTCCCCTCTCAGTCTGCAGTTATGTTTGCATTTCATGGAACCTAATGCGTATAACCTCCATTCCATGTTTACATTTTCACAAGCATACACTGTTGAAGTTTTTGAAATCTCAGCAGGAAAAAAACTAGATTAATGATGTGAAATCTGGACTTGTCGTATAATGAAATTACAATAAATTTTAGTAATAAACTGCTTATAGGAATTTATTGGGTGTCTGACATGCTTGTTCAGGTGCTAGGATTTGTACTTGTAAAAATGGAACTACTTTGTGGAAGTTAAGATGTGAAGTGACATAAATAGTTTGTATTTTTATATTTGGACTACAGGCTTCACTCTACTCCTAGAACTTCTATATGTTCTTAGGGAAGCACACTCCTGCCCCGGGGGGGGGGGGGGGGAGAGAATACGAGGCATGGAAAAGTTATTCCAAGCGAGGGAAGTTTCCAGGCCCTATGTGGATAGGATTCCCTCAGCTGTTTCTTCCTCTGTCTCCCCATTCCTTCCCATTAAGAGATTTAAATTCTCCCATGGCTCCCATTTCTCCCATTTTTCTTTCCCTCTTTCCTTCCTCCTAATTTTTAGGTGGAACTATATCATGGAAGTTTAAAAGTGAAGTTGTGTGGTTGCAGCGATGGAATTGTGGCTTAATGATGGGATTAGTTCAGTCTATCTTATTATTTTAGGCTTTTAGGTATACAACACAGACTATGCATTCAGGTGTTGGCTTTTCAAGCTTGGTGCTTGAGCAAATGTTGAGTAAATAAATGTGAGCCCGTTTGCAAGCTGGCCTGCTAACACTCTAATATAGTCAATAGGGAGACATTATTAATGCATAACCACTACAAACTACATTTTAATTTAGAGTTACATGGTGGCTGTAGAGGTATGCAGAGTAATTTTTAGCATTCAAAGATCTGGATTCATGGTCTATTCGTCATTCAAGGTGATTCTTTCGTAGCAAGTGTGGGGTACTGCTGAGAATTACATGCGTACATAGTAATTTTTGGTGGTGGAAGACAGAAAGCTAAGGGATTTATGTCATACAGTTGGTGGTTGGCTTGATTGGTGAAAAGAAGATCTAATCATCAAAAAACCTTTTTGCAGTATGTGATAGATATATTCAAGCAAACCATCAAAGTTCTTTTTCTTTTTTAATTTCAAAAAAAAAAAAAAGTCGTTGAATTCAAATATGTGTTTGTATATAAAGGACAAATCGCTGAAGAAATGGGGAATAGCATCAGTTCCTTATCAGTGGTATTATGATGCATCTTGAGAACATAGCTGAAATTGTTTCAACCGAGCATTTATTATAGGCATTAGAGCCGGATGGTGAGATCTTACCATAACTGTTTCTTCTTTTATTTCCCATAACCTTTTTATTTTCTATTGGAAGCCCATACACATATGCTTAAAAGACTCTATTAGTGGAAGCATGTCTTGCATTTTGACATGCCAGGTGTAATCTGTCATATTTGGTATGTCTTTACGAACTCAACAAAGATCGTCTCTCTTTTGCAGGGCAGATGGACTGTAAAAAATATTTGCTGTGAAGGCAAGAGATTTTGCTAGTGTTTCCGAAGATGAACCAAGGGGACAACCCTGATACCCCACCAGCTGTCCCTTTGAAGCGAAAACGTGGTCGCCCGCGGAAGGATCAGAGTCTGAAACGTGTGAAAGTTACTCCTGTGCCACCAGGACTTGAAGGGGTGAATGGAAATCAGCCCCATCAAATAGGTCCAGTGGATGATGCAAAAGATGGCATGGTGGGCCAGGCGGTTACAGGTGTTGTTGAGGCAGAATTTGATGCTGGTTATTTACTCAGTGTTAGGGTCGGAAACTCCAATACCAGTCTCAGGGGTCTAGTTTTCAAGCCAGGACATTATGTTCCTGTCACAGCAGAAAATGATGTGGTCCCGCATGTTCAAATGATCAGAAGAAATGAGGTTCATCTCCCAGCCAAAAATCGAACGCGGGTGCGTGGCTATAACCAGCAATTTAGAGAGAGGCCTGAACAGAATCACTTATCACCCACAAATCAGGTGCATAGACTTGCGCCTCAAACAGCTAGTCTGGTGGTCTCAAAAGTCAAATATGCATCTCCAGTGGCAGCTCCCTCTGTCCCTCCAGTGGGTGCCAGAGGCACCGTAGTTCCCGTTGTACTCCAACCAGTCGATGTTTCAAATGGATTACCTCTTGCCAACCAAGTGCCTCTGGATGCATCCCGGGCTGCACTCTTGACAGCATCAAGAGGCAAACAAGTGCAGACAATTACACCTTTGGCCGTTTTGCCCCCTGGTGCATCAATACCCGTCAACCAGGCGCTGACAGTTGCAAGTGAGGCACTGCCCTCACAACTTCAAACGAGCCACCAAGTGACACTAGAAGCTGCTCAAAATGAAAATGGTCTGTTTTGTCAAGGCACGCCAGAGCTGCCAAAAGGGGAAGAAAGCAGATCATTCAAGTCAGCTGACATGCTTATGCCAGGTGAAGTTAATAAGGATGCTTCACAATCACCAGAAACGCATACAGAGAATAGGAATGTACAGTGTAAATTTTCGGCCGAAAATGTTCGTGTTATCCCAAAACAAGAGATTGGTGACATGAATGAGCCTCTCTTAGTTGAGCCACTGCAAGCTGTACAATCTCATCATAATCAATTTACTACCGTCTCTAAGCCTTTGGCGGATAGAAGACCGGGCAGAATGACTGAGCTCTTGCAGGTAAATGAAGCTTGAACTCAAATAACCACCTTCAATACTGTAATTTGTACCCCAAAGTTTCCAAATATATATAAAAATAAAAACTGAAGTCAAGTACTGTGTGAAGGCTTTGCAGGAAAATATGATGGGGACCCAGGGTTGTCGGGTTGAACAACAGGCCACAGAAACTGAAGATTCCAGAAACTGACATTGGAGATGAAGAAACTCCAGTCACAGAAATGTTCCGATATCATTGATCCCTCGTGTTCTCAGAGCTGTGCAAATAGGATCAGAAGTGCTATTGAAGGTTTGGGGACGAAAAAGGCTGGTGAGAGGGAGGGTTAGGAAAAGAAGAGCTAGTGTTAGGACAATTTTTGACATTCAGGTTTTTAAGCTATCAAAAAACAAACTTCATGTCAGATTTGATATTTACGTCTCTGTAAAAATCACATCGACTGCTGAACACGTTATATATATATGATATAGTTTCATGTGTTGTGCATACAGAAAGTTTATAAGGCATCTCTCTATCCCTGGCAGAGCGTTTTCCTGGCTTAGCAGTATGCTTGGTTGACTTGTGCTTTAGCCTTCTAAATTAAGTAGTAGGCGGGCGTGATTTATTTCTACCCTCATCGTGACATACAATAGAGACACTGCATTCATGTAGTCATCCCTGATTAATAAGAATAAGGCTTTATAGAGTTGAGTTGTATAATGAAATGGGCAAGTGGAACAATGCCAACATGACAGCTGGCTGTATACTCGGGCTAATCTACTCGAAACAAAACTACTCAGCTCGAAAATAAGTTTGCTGGTAGCAAATGAATGGGCAATGTTACATGCCTACATGGACTTTATGACCTTATTTAGTGATCTTATCATTCTTTGTTATTAGATCGACAATAGACCCTGCTATTAGTTAAAACTCATTATCCATTCAATAACTATGATTCATTATGCCACCAAATAAGGTCACTAAATTAGTTACAAAAAACATGGGTCTATCGTCAATCTAGCTGAGGCACCAACTATGGCGGATCTCCGGGTCATTCAGCAAGACTTCCTGTGGGCAATGGCAAGCCAAACTCATTACTACAGGTACTGATCCAGAGGTTGCAAATCCTCACTTGAAGAAGTGGGGGACAATCACTTCAAGTAAGCAGTTTTAATTGCTTCAGAAATTAAACCATCTGATAAGCAAGGTCAGACACAATTCTATCCAGTGAAAAGAACCAGAAAGTTCGCAAACATTTGTTTTTAATATTCAGATAAAAATACTGATTGCACAGACAAGTTGTCTATTCCATCCACATCATAAAATGATCTCCACCTATAATTTCCAAATCATCGATGTAGCATTCAAATCTTGAGAGCTGGGAACAAAAATACCAGATCAAAAAACGTCGAATCTCCTGTGTTCGTTCAATGCCCAATTCTCCTTCTGTATGATCGCCCTCACTTAAATACACCTACAACTTTGGGCTCCCACAGAAATAACCTTCTCCAAAAATTTCCCAAAAAAACAGATATAACTTTGCGCTCTATACAGCCTTTCCTTTTAAAACTGGCCTTACAAAAAAAAGAAACCAAAAGATTACACCCCAAATATGTGAAGGATGACAATGAAAATGGATAAGCTAGAACTTTGATGAATAATTTAACTAAAAGCCAAAATTTGGGTCAAAAAGGAGGTGAATGTAACCCTGGTGCAAGTTCTTGCTTAGGCAGGCCTGCCTTTAATTGAGAGGAAGAGATAGGAAATAATCATTCACAAAAACTTGGATCCCAAAAAACCATTAGATCCTCGGACTGGAATAGGACGGAAAACAGGGAAGGAAGGTTGTGAAATAGGGATGTGGCTGGGCACTGCAAATGACTGCTGTCCACTAGCTATAAAAGGGGCAGACATGCACAGATGCACTGCTTGAGCCGTTGCATTTCCTGCAATTGAAGACAAATTGATTAGATAAGACATGATATCCAATAACATTAAAAATAAGTTCCTTCCAAGATTCAAAAAGGAACATTATTAATCTTATATCATTTTTGAAAGAATAAGTAGCCCAAAATTAGATAAAAATAAATCATTAGGGAGGCATAGTATTGAATTTCCCAGCGTGCCAAACATTTTCTGCTTTGCAAATCTTTTCACAATAAATTGCAATAGAAGTCAACGACAAGACCATTTTCTCTATATCAGATAAGTAGCAATGGCATTTTTGAATGTGCATAAAAAAACTAAAATATTGACATATAATCAAATCAAGTTGTCTGACGAAAATGTTTGTACAAGGCTTCAAGGGATTTACATGGGTCTAGAAATCAAACACCAAGCTAATTGATAAACAGATTTTTTTAACTGAATTCAGAACTTTATTACGTTGTTATACTTCCTACCTTTTATGATTATGCTCATTATATTGCTGACAAAGTACTTTAAGAAAATATGACCTAATGAACCTCCCAATTGATGAATCTATCTGCTCAGATAAATATTTCTTCAATCAGCGTAAAATGGTGAATTCATCAACTTATGAAGGGATGTGACATGACTGTGTTGGCAGATCAATGCAGATGATGCATGAACCATCACCAAAACAGTCAAGATAAAGGACAAATTCTTCTTTTGTTTTTAACTTTTCACAGAAGATGCTTGTTTTGAAATGTATATTGACACCTTTGCCCATTATACCCCAAGACATTAAATGCCCAAGAAACAGGTGCATATTGCATTGTTGATCTCTATATTGTGGTACCTTGTGCAAAGATATTATTCGTAACAATTTCAACTGGAGTCCATCTACACATTCAACAATAATAAAAACAAAACCAACTTTCTGCGATACGCTACAGTAATTCACCAGGAACTACTCTTGCTCATACCTTGGTGCTTAGGAAGATGAACCTGATGTGGAGTCAGCAGAGGGTGTGTAGATACTTGAGAGAGAGCTGGTGCAACCTGAACCAGATCCTTCAAATACACATAAAAGGCAATTAAGAAATAAGGAAAGCAATGTGTAACATGGAAAAGGAAGCACAAAAGGAAAATGTGAAAAAAAAGAGAAACACACAAAAGCAAAAGTGGACTTTGGAAATAACAAAACAATGAAATAAACTCAAGAAATTGCGTCCACATAAGCAATAGCACCAAGTGAGGTGAGTTTATAAGGGACCTACACAGCTATAGTTATAGATTTTGGTGTGCTTGTGTTGGGGAGCATGTGCTTTTAATGAAAAGACAAAAGAAAAAAAGCAGATAAGCTTTAGCATAAATCTTTTTCCTTTCAGAAATATGATGTCACAGTGGACTCCAGATGCATGAAGCCACAGAAACATCCATTAGTTCTGCAAAGATGGGTCCAAGCCATCTCCTGATCACCAATTTGATGAGTTCAGTAGTGATCAGACTAGTGGCATGAAAAATCTCACCCATTTTCCGCTTGCCAGAGTCCCAATACCAGAAAATAAATACTTATTTGATGGCATCAATCTCAGCGCACGTACTATAACATTGCATTTTGGGGAAAATCAAAAGACAATCTTTCATAGAACATGCAAAAAGTGATCATGTGGGGTTTTCCACACAACCTTTACGGCCCAGCTAAAGTAACCTAGGAATTCCCTTTCACAGCTTCTCCCATAACATATCAATCTGATCAGTTCCAGTAATTCACATATAGTAGCTGCACCAGAAATCGCTATTTTTGGACAATCCCAATTTGATATACTTGTAATTTGTGGAAAAAAAAACTGCTGCAAACATCTATATGTAATGTTATCACGCTACAGGGACTGAAGCTTACCTGAGAAACTGGATGCATATAGACAAGTGGCCCGC